GATGGTTAACCACCGAGCCACCCAGGCGCCCTTAGCAGAGACTTTTAAAAGACTAGTATGCTATAGAACATACTTTGGGAAATACTTCCCAAGTGGTATTCCCAATAAATCAGCAGCAGCATCACCTGACAGTCTGATTCCAGGAAGTCTTGGCCAATTCATGTAGTTATCTATGACAATCTATTGGTAGCTGAGGGGAAAATCCATTCACAACAGCGGCAGCAGCAACAGGAACAATAAAAACATAAGATCCTTTAGATTCCTTCTTATTCCCAGCTGATGAATTCCTCGAGGGAAGGCTTATTCATTATTATGCCCCTAAAAAAGTATCTGGCTCACAATAGGTCCTTCATAAATAAATGGGTATACATTTCCTTTTAATTTCCTTGAGATTAAGAAAGTTTATGGTGATTGTCTATCGTTTAAAACATATTACCCTGGGAGCTACAATAACATTCAAGAGGTTGGTCATATGTCAGGTAGTTTTGATTATGTAATTGTTTATCCCAGAAAACTGTATTAGAAAACAGGAAGCACACAAAGAGAATATTCATCAGTCACATTGCCACTGCTGTTTTTTCTTCTGTTGCCACTATCAGTGAAAAGGGGAGAAATGAATTGCTGCTCCATGACTGAGTCCCTGCGTGAGCACCCCAGGCTTCTCCCTTTCCTCTCTCCTACACTCTCTTTCTGCTCCACTCAACAGGAGGCATTGCTGCGTTCCCAAATTACCTGCTTTTCTGAAGATCCTCATTCATTTGCAAGATTATCTTGGTTGCTGTAATTGTGGGAAACATAATTCTGTACAGCCTGACCACTTTAGATTTTAAATTTTAGTGGCGGCTTTAGCTCCTGAGTAAAGCTGAGTCAAGCATCCCTTCTCTGGGATTCCGGAATGAGGAAAGAGAGGAAGGAAGGAAGGAAGGAAGGAAGGAAGGAAGGAAGGAAGGAAGATGTGTGTGTCTGTCTGCCTGCTGAAATAGAAAGGCTGTTCTGTTGGAAGAGAATAATGATGTGCAGAGAGCAACGTACTCATGAGATAGAGCAGGAGTTCCAATAGTATTCAAGTGTTTGACTACGATTATTCCCGAGATGCAGACATATTCCTTTCTTTAGTTCTGGGAGACGCCTCCATGTTTTTTAATAAAGATTCAAATTGGATTTCTGTCACTTGCGAGCAGAGTCTTGGATAATACACTTGAACTGTCACTTGGAGAAAATTACACTTAACTCACAAGGCTATTCTATTCAGCTGAGGGAGTCTATAAATAGATTAGAAAAACAGCCAGGGAAATCAGAGATGTTTTGGATTTTGAAGAGACCTTCAAGAGCCAGAGTCTGGAGAGATAAAATGATTTGGCCAATTACCAACATCAGTTTGCCAAATAGTCTGGTTCTTAATGCTCTTTACTCTTTATTGCATCGCTCAATTTCTTGTTTCATTTCCTTTCAGTCAGCTAGCTCATTCTTTGGTCCTGTGTCTTTGGCCCACTGTTGTTCTGCTGATTCTCACATACATTTCACATATTCCCTTTCTTTGGCCCTGCATTCCACCATTAGTATCAGGTTAAAATTACTTTCTTAGTGTACCCTGTACTCAGGCATAACAGTTCTCTAATTGCTCTCTCTTTTTTACTGGGTGAAAGTCACCTTAATAAGCTTCCACGAAGGGAATTTCCAATCTGCAATAGCTGCATTAGTTTGGCCTTAGAACTGTGACCACAGAGCAAGGCAAGATAGGAGAAATATGCTCAATATAATGAGATACCATTTAAATATTTATAGGTGCCATGGCTCTGCTGGTAGAAAGAATATAAAAACAATTTAAAAGTAGAATGAAATCTTATATAGATTCACTGAATATCAATTGACCTGGGTGGATCCTGCAAACCCCAATCAGATTACAAAATTAGGTAATATGACATGTGAATCCAAAGCTCTCGGACAGCAAGGCAGCACACGTTTGAAAGGCATGAAACTGGAACCCTTGGAGGTCTAGACTTGGCTTAGCATTGGCAGAACGGGTCTAATCACGAAAAAATATCTTGCATATTTGCAGTCCACATCCCATGTATGGGCTGAATTATGTATCTCTCCAAAATTCATGGTCGAGGTCCTATCCCCCAGGCCCTCAGAATGTGACTGTACTTTGAGACAGAGACTTTTAAAGACTTAAGTTAAAATGAGGTCACTGGGTGGACTCTAATCCAATCTGGTGTTCTCATAAGAAGTTCTGATACCTGGAAAGACACCAGAGACACCTGCACAGAGGAAAGATCACTTGAAGAAATAGCAAGAAGACTGCCATCTGCAAGTAAGGAGAGGGGTCTCAAAAAAAAATCAGACTTGCTGACACCTTGATCTTGGTTCCAGTCTCCAGAACTTTCAGAAAATAAATTTCTGTTTTTGCAGCCACCCTGTCTGTGGTATTTTGTTATGGAGGCCCTAGCAAATGAATATATCCCATAATCCAACTCAAATCCCCATTCAGTATTTACTATCCATAAATTCAGTCCAGAAGCTAATGATTTTTTAGTGTCTTAAACCTTGGGATTAACTATAGGAATAATCTGTAAATATATACAGTATTTTAAATATTTTAAATACCTATACTTAAAAATATTTAAAATAGTTAAAACATTTATGAAAAACTGCCATATACTCTTCCAATTTAAAATGTGATAGTTGAATAATTAGTTCAGACATGATTGTCAATTAAAATTTTATAAATTCATAAACCATACTGAAACTTTTAAGAGAACACGAGTCTTTGTAGTTATACATTTAAATTCTTAAATTTGTAAGAGTTATTTAAATGTATATGAAGGCTTATTTGCTAGTTAAAATTTTGAAATAATTAGAAAATCGAATGTAATGAAGATCACAAAATTTAAAATGTTTAAAGAAATGTAGTTAACTAAACTATAAAAAAACTCATAAAAACGATAGTAAAAATTTTATTAAATCTAGAACAATAAAATTTATACAAATACTTAGAATATAGAGTTTTGAATTTATAAATATAATAAATCAAATATTTTTTATTTCAGAACAATCACAGAATTACAAAAAAATTGCAAGTACAGCACAAAGACCTCCCCCACCACTGAAATATTTACAATATGCTGACATGATGCCCCTTGACTCCCAAACACTTTAGTGTAATTTCCCACAATCAAGGACATTTTCTAATATAACCACAACATAATCATCAAGATCAGGACATAAACATTTTTACATTACCACCATCTAATCTTCAAAAACGACTCAATTTTCACCAGATGATCCCAGATTCCCTTTATAGGATAAGGATATAACTCAGAATCATGTGTTGCATTTGATTATCATGTCCCTCTAGTCTCCTTCAGGCTGAGACAGTTTTTCAGTCTTCTATTTTCAAGATCTTGACACCTTGAAGATCTCAGGACAGTTATTTAGCATAATGTGCATGGATTTGTTTTTTTCTGAGTTATCTCTTGATTATATTCAGGTTATGCAACTTTGGCAGGATTATTACAAAAGTGATGATGAGTTACTCTGTTGCATATTATTTGGTGGGGAACAAATTCAGTTTGCTTCATTACTAAACATATTCTCTTTGATCACTTGTTGAAAGTGGTATCTTCCAGTTTTTTCCATTATTCCCTCTGTAACTAATACATATTTTCTGGGAGATACTATGTAAATATCCCATTCCTCAGCAAACTTTCCATTTATTCATTTATGTAGTTGAGTATGGGCTCATGGTTTCCTACTGTCTGCCTGTGGTTTTCATTATTTATTTTGATGCCCAAACTGTCTCAGGTTTGACCAGTAGGAACTTTCCCAAAGTGGATTCAGTGTCCTTTTGATAAATCCCTTTCATTTTTTAAGAACTTCTTTGCTTTCTGGCACAAAAAGATGTTCTAGACTCATGTATTTTCCCTGTCTCAGCCCTGGAATCAGTCATTTTCCCAAGGATGCCTGCTTCCTTTTGGTAGAAAGTGGTGGTGAGAAGCCAAGATCTGGGTGTGATGTGAGCTCATTGATATTGGGTGTTGCTGTTTTGAGGCCCTCTTATTGAACAGAGCAAGGGCAGATGCATGCATAAAACATTAACATATATTCTGTATTTGTTGTACATATTGAAAATGGTGAGATCACACCAAATACATCCAATTCTAATTTAATACCACTCTACTCATCTTGAGTGGAATCTCCCCTCTCATGCCAGGCCATCACCTCCCCTGTGAATACACCCTTCTCACCCCACTGGAACTCTGATGTCCTGCTCTGGGCTTTCCCACTCCCACACATTGAGCAGACTTCCACCTTGCTTGGCCCCAACCAAATGCCTTAGTACTGGATTGCTTAGAAAGAGAAGAGAAGAGAATAGGAATAAGAGGAAGAACCAAATATTAATTTTTAAATCACAGGTGACCTCTTGAATAATATCTTTTCTGCACAAAAGTCACCTGCAGGGGCACATGAGGAAAACATGTTCTTCCCTAATGAAGTCCTCACTTCTCTAAAATCTTTTGGTTTCTCTTAGATTTCATTTTCTCAGCTTCATGGTCATGGCATTCATATTGTCCAGGCACATAAACATATTAAACACTTCATTTTATACATCATCTCAAGGGACATTTCAGATTTTATTTTCTCATATAGAGCTATTGAAAATCTTGTATTTATATCTTCTTACTCTTGTTCTTCAATTTCAGACTTCTTATCACTATTCAACAAATTTAGTAGATAGCACTGCCACATGGTATAGATTTCGGTCCCTTATATTTGGCAATAGTAAGACGTGGAACATTTTTGTTTTGGAAAATCTGAGCTTCAAAATAAGTAGCGAGAAGATTCTCTCCCATGAACTGTTGCACTCAGCTTCAGCATTTAATGGGAAAATTTTAGAAAAACCTCAAGTCAGATTAAGATCAGTAGCACACAAAGACAGTCACAATTATGGTTTTCTTTCTGATTTCTTTATCAACTTTATTATTCTAACTTGGCTTCCATCTACAGACTCATTTATTTTCTAAGTTGCTCCGGGTTATAGAATTCATTCAAATTTAGCAAGTCATTAGGGGACCACGTAACATGTTGGTATTTAAGTCTTTCTTCTGGAAATGTGGTCAAAAATGACAGCTTGAATGTAGAGTTCTGTCTGGATAGGGGTTCTAGTAGAGTTGTCGCCTGGGGAAACCTAAAATACATAAATCATATCATTAATCAGTCCAGTACATCATGCAAATGATTGGCATCAAATGAATTTTCTTCTTGCTTCAATATTATAGAAACAGAACAAAAAAATGCCATGGCCAGGAAGACATTTTAATGTTTCCCCTCAGGTTCTTTTTCTTAAGAGTAGTGATAATTCCAGTCAGAAGTTTTGAGGCGCTTGTTTATGACATTACTGAAAATATCAGTAATGGGTCAAACTGTCCCAGGCTCATGCTAAACCCCATGGGTCACTAACTCTGCAGAATTTTCAGGGGAGGACTTCATAAACACGTGTGATCACAGGTTAATAAATCTAAAAGAATCCTATCATAAGTTCAAGTTTGTCCAATAAAAAATGAACTTGAGTTTGGAATTGATGATGTCCATGGTGGGTTTCATTAAAAGCTTCTCATCAGTTTAAAAACTATTTGAACTGCTTTTTCCTCCCTTCAAATAATAATCTGTGAAAAAAGATTTGCTCCTTTTACTTTTATTCAGGATAATCTATCATACTTCAAGGCTCCTGGGGAGCTCCCGTGGGAATGAGTATTCACTAATGTGGTATTGATAAGCGAGAAGAGAGAGATTCTAAAAGAGCTGGTAATATCTACAGTTGGAATATATTATTCGATGCACAAAAGAATGAAGTTACTTGCTCTCTCTTCTTCTTTTAGGAAGAAATGATAAGACATTTAGATGTGGGACTAGAGGAAAGCTTTGGTCTTGCCTTGTCCCCATGGTATTAATTTCTTGCTAGCAAGAAAATATAATTTATTTTATCTTTTATTAAGTAGAGTCAGCAAAACTGTAAGGACTGAAATGGGTAAACAGAAATAGTGGGTGTCCTGAGTGACTCACCCATCCAAGTTTTTTCTGCCTTTCACAGTTTTTATGCTATTTTACAACTCTTTAAGTTGTGGAAAACTTGATAATAATGCAAAATATTCTTGTCAAAAAGATGCAAATTAATTGTACACAGTAGAATTCAATTAATTATTGCCCTGCATTGAGATCTACTCTGCATCTATTTGTAAATTAATTAATTTCAATTTTTCTTATTCCGTATATATGTTTTGCTTTTAGAATTCTCCTTTGAATTGTTTGTACCATCTTACTGGTTCCCTCTATAATTAGTGAATTAAATGAAATAGTTGGTACATTCATTTCATATCTGTATGAGAGTCATAATTATATCCTTTTATGAAAAATTATCTTGTACACAATTATCTTGTAAACAATTATCTCGTAGTAAACTATGATGCCTTGTGGATTCACCTGATGGCTGAGGAACCTGTGTTGTGAACAATGTCCACAATAGTTAAACTATGGAAAGAGCCAAGATGTCCATCGACAGATGAATGGATAAAGAAAATGTGAGATATATATATATATATATATATATATATATACATATATATATATATATAATGGAATATTATGCAGCCATCTAAAAAACCCCAAAATCTTGCCATTTGCAATGACGTGGATGGAACTAGAGGGTATTAGGCTAAGCGAACTAAGTCAATCCAAGAAAGACATGTATCATATGACCTCAGTGATATGAGGAATTCTTAATCTCAGGAAACAAACTGAGGGTTACGGGAGTGGTGGGGGGTGGGAGGGATGGGTTGGCTGGGTGATAGACATTGGGGAGGGTAGGTGCTATGGTGAGCACTGTGAATTGTGTAAGACTGCTGAATCACAGACCTGTACCTCTGAAACAAATAATACATTATATGTTAAAAAAAAAAAGAAAAAAGAAGATAGCAGGAGGGGAAGAATGAAGGGGGGGAATCGGAGGGGGAGAAGAACCATGAGAGACTATGGACTCTGAGAAACAAACTGAGGGTTCTAGAAGGGAAGAAGGTGAGGAGGTGGGTTAGCCTGGTGATGGGTATTAAAGAAGGCATATATTGAATGGAGCACTGGGTGTTATATGCAAACAATGAATCATGGAACAGTATATCAAAAACTAATGATGTAATGTATGGTGATTAACATAACAAAATTTAAAAAAAAGACTAGTGTAATCATCTTGTTTTAATAAAAATGGCTTGTAGTGTGATTTATCAGTGTTAGGTATAATACAAGCACATATTTTATTCTACTTGGGTTTGCTTTTCTTAAATTTATTCAAGAATACGGATCAAATAAGCTAACATTACTCCTACACAATATTTAAGACAATGAAAAATATAAATTTGTATTCAACAAAATCAGATCATTATTCTGATAACTTTATTTCAATAGTAATTATGTTTTATTTTTAATATGTCAGCTTGAATATAAGTCCTAAGGTCTTTAGGTAACATAAAGCCTTAGGACTGCTATTAGGTTGAATTATATAATGAATATTCATTTGATATCTAGATAATTTCTGACTAAGATAGAATATTGGCCATTTAATGCCTAATTATAATGCATAATTTTAAATTTATATACTTTTGCTTATATTCCATGAAACATTCCTATCTTTGGGTCATGTTAATGCACCGGTTCATTTTGTCTCTTTAAAAAGGTATGTGTGTGGCTGGAGAAAGGTACAAGATAAACTTTGCTATTCTGTTAAAATGCTTTTGGAAGACAGGCAATTGTTAATTTTCTACCTCTAGTTTTCTCACTGAAATAGGAGTTACTTTGATTAAAAGTAAAAATTAATATGAATGGTTGAGATTACATGAAGTAGTAAGGACAGACTAAAACCACTGTCTATGTGCTTTTGTGTTCCAAAGAGAAAGTAGTTTTGTCTCATAGTGGAGGCTTGATAGTACTGGTGTTATATATACATAAACCTTGTATAAATATATACAGTAGTGTTTTTCAGGCCTTTATTTTCTTTTTGTTCCTTCTCAGAACCCTTATACAATCTTGAGACTTATTGAGGACTCCAAAAAACTTATGTGGGTTATAACCATCAATATTTGCCATATCAGAAGTTGAAACTGAGAAATTTTTAAATACTTACCGATTCATTTGACTAGAGCAATGATGAACATGAATTAAAATGTTAAGAGAAATAACATCTTAATATAAAAATTACTTTGAACTCATGGATACCCTGAGAATTGCTGTGACAGAAAAAGCAAAATAAAGGGCAAATTTGGAAGTAAATTTTACTTGCTTTGATTTATAGCACTTGAGTTTGAAAAGAAGTGATGAAATGTACTAAAATTTTAGTGACATTTGCCTTATCTTGATGGGCTTCTAGCTTTCTTTACTTACTGGTTCATTCCTTTGCCTACCATATAAAATATTTTTTTTGACCTTCTGTGTCATCTGTCTAGGTAGCAAATAATGTATGTCTTATAAGAATATTTTTCTGTGCTTTATATTGAGTTTATCACATTCCTGATTAAGAAAAAGAAAGAAATAAAAGAAAGCAAAGAACAAAGATTCCTCACTTATAAAAAAATAAGTTTCTTTACAATCATGTTAAAGTCTATATTGATTTAAAATATTTTATTATTTTAATTGCTTAATTAAATATATAACTCAGTATTATTTCCCTAGTACCCTGATCCTATCTTAATCAAATGTCCAAATATCTCTAACAGTTTTATTTTCTAATTTTTGCCTTCCCATAATTGGATTCTAAGTCTAGAAAAAATTAAGTGAAACTTTACATCTACTTTACACTTACTTTCCATGGTCATTTAGTTATTTGCATTGGTTCAAAAAGAAGCTGTTATTTTTTTTTTTAATCAGGGTGTAATTGTACAACTTGAAAAACCAAGGCCTTACCTGGAATGTCATATTCGAGAACAATACTCATTTAAATCAGGTAGGAACAGCCACTCTTCATGGATTAAGTTTGACTTAATTTATGGAAGCAGTGCCTACAAAGCCTTGGTCTATTTCTTGGCTTAGAAAGCCTAAGAATATTGTATATTAAATATATGTAACTTTAGTATATTTGGGGGACCTTGAGAAAAGAGGAATTTACCCAAATTTATGGGTTTTTCAGGTAAAATATGATGGAGAGCATTTTTTTTGGGCTTCGTTTCCTAGCCTCAGGTCACCAGATAATAAAGGATTTTAAAAATCCAATTTGAGAATCCTTATGAAAACTTCCAGACATAATTTAATTTAGCATTTGTTCAAAATTGTATGGTTTTAGAGTTTACAAAGAAAACTTAAGGTGTCCTTTTTGATAAAATAACACTTTCACTGCATCTATGTAAACAACTAGGCAAATCTAATGGGACCAACCTTATTTTATAAGAATGATCACTCTTTGAATCTATTATGATAAGAAGAGGAAAGGAGACTGTCAGAAAATAATTGTGAGAGACTTTGAAATGGGCAAAAATCAAATAGTGGCTACCGTGACTACTCACTCATGTACGTTTTCTCATCTTTAACTGATACTACAGCTCTGTAAGTTGTAGAAATCCCATTATAATGCAAAAAATTCATGTCTGTATAAATGCAGAATAGTGTTCCATAGAATGCAACTGATTTTTGCATTGATTTTGACAGACGAGTTTTGCATGTATTTGTAAATTCATTTCAGAATTTCTTCTTCTTATTATTTCTTTTTTTAGAGAGAGAGAAAGAGAGCATGCGCACACAAGCACACTTGCATTTGGGGAGGGGCAGAGGGAGAAGGAGAGAGAGAATCTTAAGCAGGCTCCACACCCACCTTGGAGCCCAACACAGGGCTTGATCTCACTACCGGGAGATCATGACCTGAGCTTCAATCAAGAGTTGGACACTTAACCGACTGAGACACCAAGGTGCCCCTTCATTTCAGAATTTCCTATTCCCTTTATAGATCTCTGCCCTTTGAATTCTTCAAACCAATTGTAACATTTTACTGGTCCCTTATTAATTAATGACTTAAAAATCTTTGACACGTTCATTTTATGTCTGTATGAAAATCATGATTCTACCTTCTTTTAAAAATTATTCCTTAACAATAGATAATAAGATTTCTAAAAATAATCTTACATATACAACAACAACAAATGCCTGACGTCATTA